ATCAATGTTCTCGATGTATAAGCGGCTGCAATATTTTGTGGGTAGGGTATTTGAACACATCGAAATTGGTGTCTTAGCTCAGATTATTCCTTGTCCACCGCTGCATGGCTTCCACTTATCATATCCTTAGCACAAGAATCGAAGTGGTGTAAAATGTTTCAATATTCCAAACTCAATCAATCCTTCCGCCAAGGTCATAAACAGGCTTTTGAAAGGAAAGATGGAGAAGAGGAGTGAAGGCAGTTGGGTGTGAAGACCTGAGAAGCAAGTTGAAATCCTTGGATTCGAATCGAGATTTTCCACTCACGCCGCATAGCACATCTCAAACTCAAATATGAAATATCTTCAGATATTCCTTATGCAACTGGGATGTGATGTGAGGAACATTATGTGACGAGCAAATAAAATTCTTTAACCATAACCCCGAAACTTTCGTACAGGCGGAATTCGATTGCAAGTCTCTCTTATAAAAGTCCGTATCTCTTACATAATCCTTTCTTACAAAAGCTTTCTATACATTAAATTAGAGAGTGCCATACTTTCTCATGCTTAAGTTTTATATGCAAGAGTGGGAGTAATACATGTTTCAAACGTCCTCTTATTCTATTTTTAATATATTAAAATTTTAAAATAAATAAAAAACAAGAGTTCCAATTCCCGTTACAAAGTCGAATATCACTAAGAAGAAAAAACTTTGAATAGGAGTTCCGACTTCTAAGAATTGAACGCCTCACTCTTTGTAAATTTTACTTCCTTCCACCCAAATGATTATGTCGGATCAAACTCTCAAATGCCCGTTTGGTCAAACCCAACTTCTTGTGTTGATCATTGATGATGTGGTAGGCATAGGTATATATAAATATCTGCAATGTTTGGGTCAGTAGACATTAAGTACAGAGCTAGACTTCCACTCAAGAATCTCATATATATATATATATATATATATATATATATATAGTTCGGTTGTTTGTTCCTTGTGGTGACATCTTGCACTCGAAATAGAACATGATTCCAGTTGATAATTACGTAAAAGTCAAAGAGTCATCTCAGCTTCATGCGTTCAATTTTGGAAGTCGGAAGTCGGAAGTCGGAATTATTATTGGTGGTTTTTTCTGATTAGTTTCAGCTCTCTAAATTCTTAATTTTTATTTGAACGAAATAGGATGAAGAAACCCTAATTCATATTTTTTATTTGTTTTAATTTTTTAATATATTAAAAATAAAATGGGAGGACGTTTAAAATAGTTGTTACTCCCACTAGCACATGTGAAATTTAAACATGAGAAAATGCGATGCATAGGAATCTCTTTGAGAAGGATTGTGCAAGAGATCGGACTCCTCTTACAACCACCAAGATAAGGTTAGGTTAAATTGCACTCATCATTGCAATTACTTGCAAATATTATAGTATTAAAGAAAGTATACACCTAGGTAGTAAAATGTTGCACAATGAAATCATTGTGCATATTTTCTTTTCTTTTTTTTCTTTTGGATTTGACTATAGTGCTGAAAAGACATGATACCAGTAAAACATATAACCAATCAACTAGCATTATAAAAGTGGGTGGGTTTTCATCTCAAGACTCATGGGGGTTTGATTGGTCAAAGCCTTTTTGGTATCAAGTCTTTCCGGAATCATAAACTTTTTTTTTCTTTTTATGATACATATATTAGTGTAAGTACATTTTTTTCGAAGGATATTAGTGTAAGTACATGTGCTATGGATGTGTGAAAGTAAAAAATGAAAACTTGTTATAGTAAATATGTGATTTAGGTGATGTTTGGCATTAATGCCATTTCTTGAGAAAACGATGCAATGTAAGTGCCACATTAGAGAAAGCGGTGCTTCAAACAACGCCCTCTTGTTTGATACTGTTTTTCTAAAAAAAAACATTACTCCAGACCACGCCTTGGAAATCGAAAAAAGTGTGGCCTAAAGCAACGCCAAATTCAATATTTTCTAAGAAAACTACGTGTTGCTATTAGTGGTGCAATGATGTGGCATCATCTTGGATGTTGAATAATATAGACCAATATTGAAAACATTGCTACCACCATTGGTACCAAACAAAACCGATGTTGTTTTCTCAAAAAACGCCTATGTGGCAGCACCAATTCCAAACAAAAAATAAGTACTTACAACTCTATATGCCTAACACCATTTTTATGAGAAAACGACACGATATTCCCAGCATTGATGCCAAACACCTACTTAACTTTTATGACTTGAATGGGAATCAAGGAAAGAGTAGGGTGAACCTAAGTTACATTAGTCATGCCACACAGCCTACAGTCCTGTAAGATTAGTTTCTAAACTTTCTATGCCCTCTTTATTGGACTGATGTTAGAGTTAATCATTCTAGCTATTGGATCATTACATGTATCAGACCAAATGCATTTTACATTTCGATCTTAGGTATTTGATGTGATAATCAATATAAATGTACATTAATAAAATTGATGTATTATTTACATAAATTTTCAATGGAAAAATCAGTTGATTAGAGGGTTTACATGATGTAAACTTTACATTAGAAACAAACATGTAAAAATATGGACCAAGTGTGGAGTTTTACACCGGTCCATATTTATACTGAAAACAAATGTGTGTAAATGCAAACTAATGGTGGAGCTCTACATTGATTCACATTCACACCAAAATCAAACACAGCCTTTGGTTCAATGGTAGGAGTTAAGTAAAATCCTCTAAAAGTGTTAGATTATCTGGTGCAAGTTAAGGTTAGAACGGCTAGAGATAGACTAAAATGAACATGAATCAAAATAGTAAAACATGATTTAAGCACTCATAATCAGTTTAGCAATGAAATGGCACATTGAGGATACACGTAGCCAATGCCATATAATTGGGAACTCAGTTTAATAGGGTGATAACTCACTCTTTTAAAAGCATTTCCTATGGTTGTTACACATTATTGATTTATTATCAAAATTCACTCATTAACCTTCATTGTAGGAATCCATCAAAACTTCTTTTACTCAAATATCATATTCACAAAATTTAATAATAGTTTGCTCATTTCTTAGCTAGAAGCAATGTTTTCGAATTGTCCTTGATTTAGATGGTCAGACCATTTGGCTTGAGGATCATTCAGGCAATTGGTTCTGTTTCACCCTTAACCTAGTCTTTGGTAGAAAATTATTGATTTGATAAACAACCCATTGACCTGAGTGGTCATTGAAGAGGGGCACATCAAAGAGTTGCACATACCCATCGGAACTTTCACTGGTGTATCGAAAAAAAAAACTCTTTGGGGTGTTCTATTTTTTTTTTTAGATTTTGAGAGGGGGGAAAGTTTGCTAATGGGAATTTGTTTCCTATTGACCAAGAAACCCATGTTTTCAAATTTATGTATAGACTAGGGAAAGTTTATTTTCCTAAGTATCACTTGCCCAAATAAGTGATACCCATCTCTTAGGTGGGTAAGTAACTTTCCCACATGGGAGAAAGTCACTAACACTTGAATGGGACAAAAATACCCCTTTTAATAATGAATTTTTATGGCTAAAATGGTCATCACCTTATTTACTTGGAAAATAAAAGAACATGGGTAAATGCACTTACTTAGGTAATTTTTTCCTAAGAAACACTTACCTGAGTAAGTGCATTTACCCGAGTAACTAACTTACCGAAAAGCGAACAAGGCCTTTATGTTAACCTCCCATTAGGAAAATGGAATGAAAATGATGATGTTTGAATCTTTAGCCTATTAATTTTGTTGAAAATACCCAAGATACCCTTCTAGATGTATTTTTCCTTATCTTCTTAAAAAAGGGTTTGCTTTCTACTATACTTCTTTTGTTTATAAAAGCTTTTCATTTTAGGGAAAATTTTGATTAGTAGCCTTTTTACTTTAGGCCTAATGTCACTTTGGTCCCCGAACTTTAAAATTAACAATTTAGTATCCAAACTTTCAAAATGTGTCAATCCAATACCTATTGTTGATCAATCCATTAACCAACTAGTAAGTGGCACTTGAAAAGGCACAAATGCCCTTCGAGTGCCATCTAATTCTCTTTATCAACCATCCAAATGTTGATAAAAGGTGAACAGTCTCAAATCCTTGCCTCTTTTATTCAAGAAATTGGGGTCGCCAAAATAGAAGAGGCAAGAATTTGGGATTATTCACATTTTATTAACGTTTGGATGGTTGATAAAGAGAATTAGATGACACTTAAAGGACATTTATGTCTTTCAAATAGCACTTAATAGTTGGTTAACATATTCATTAACATCAAGTACTGGATTGACACATTGTGAAAGTTCAGGTATTAAATTACCTCATTTTAAAGTTGGGAGACCAAAGTGACACCAAACCTAAAGTACAGGAATTTTCCCTTCATTTTATTTAGAGGTGTAATGTGGCTCATTTTTTGCAACCCATCAGCTAGCATGGCTCGATCCAAGTCCAGTGGGCTGCAAGCCATATCGGGCCATGGGAGCATTTTTTTTTCAAAAAATAAAAAAATAATAAAAATTTAAAATAAATTAATAAAAAACAAAAAAACTAAAATTTTTTTCTTTGTAAGTTTTGCACGACCCAATTCTTTGTGCTGTACTGGTCCATGGGCCTCAAAACCCTTACTTTGACACGACACGATGATGGTTGGGGCCAGGCCTGGCATGGCATGGCGTGTTTGCTAATTGCTATAGTGACTGGGCCGTGCCATACGGGGGGTGGTCCGGTCCACTTTAGTGCTCTGATTTTTTTCCGGATGTGAAACAAACAAACAAGGATAATCTGGTCATTTTACTTTTACCGCTGATGGCTGACGCCGCTTAATTTATAAAAGTTGGAGGGGGTGGTATTTACAACTTCTGATAGTTCTTTAGGTATTAAACCGAAAAAATACTATAGTATAGGCGGGTTTCTGAAATTTACCCAGTTGCATTAACAAAGAAAACGTTAGTCCGAACTCCGAACCGCATGAACAAACGAAAACGTTCGCGCGTTACTCTCAAGACACTATATAAGAGAAAGAGAGCCACTGAGGGTGAGGGTCTACCGAGGGAGCGAGGCAGAGTGAGAGAGGTCTGAATCATCGACAATGGAGTCTTTGGTTCTGCAACTCCACGAAATCGAAGCAGTGAAGTTCGGTAACTTCAAGCTCAAATCCGGCATCTTTTCCCCAATCTACATCGACCTTCGCCTCATCGTCTCCTATCCATCTCTCCTCCAACAAATCTCTTCCCTCCTCCTCTCCGCCGTCTCTTCCACCACCTTCGACCTTGTATGCGGCGTCCCTTACACCGCTCTCCCCATCGCTACATGCGTCTCTATATCCAACAACATCCCCATGGTCATGCGTCGCAAGGAAATCAAAGACTACGGCACCTCCAAGGCCATCGAGGGTGCGTTCAAGGAGAACCAAATCTGTCTCATCGTCGAAGACCTCGTCACCAGCGGTGCTTCCGTTCTTGAAACCGCCGCCCCGCTTAAGGCGGTCGGGTTGAAGGTTACGGATGCTGTGGTGCTTATCGATCGGGAGCAGGGAGGGAGGGAGAACCTCGCTGAGAATGGAATCCGACTGCATTCCATTATTAAGCTGAAGGAAATGATTGAGATATTGAGGAAGAATGGTAAGGTGTCGGAGGAGATGGAAAAGCAGGTTAAGACTTTCTTGGAAGAGAATCGCGCGGTTTCCGTTCCGGCGGTGGCGCCGCCGGAGAAGGCCAGAGTTAAGTTGTCGTATTCGGAGAGAGCAAAGATGAGTAAAAATCCAACAGGGAAAAAGCTTTTTGAGGTAATGGTTGCCAAAGAGAGTAACCTCTGTTTAGCTGCTGATGTTTCAACTGCTGCAGAGCTACTTGCCCTTGCAGACAAGGTATATTCTACCCTTTGTTCTTCATCTTTACCTTCTGATTGTTGCGTACCCAGTTGTGATAATCTGTCCTCTGTGGATTGTTCCTTTTCTTGGTTACGCATATTTTCAAATTTTTTCTCATTTGAGTGTATAAAAAACGTTTTTTTGCTGATAAAAACGTTTTTTATCTATTTTTCTTTGCTATCAGAAAAAATAAAGAATAGCTATAAGAATGTCGTTCGTTGTTCATTATGGTTCTATACAGTTGGTTTTCACTTGCTAGCAATTGATGAATATATCTTAGGACAGTGTTAAAGCTGTTAAAATTCCTTATTTGAACACCGCGGCGGCTGTTGTCATAGTTTAGAACCGTGGTTGTATTTAAACGATCAGAATACTGTCACCATCATCATCGCCTCGTCCCAACTATATGCGACAGTTTTATAAAAATGAATTAGTAATGAAAACATGAAATACTTCTCATTTGCTTAACCGTAAGTGACAGTTTTATAAAAATAAGATTAATTGCTATAAATGAAGTCCATTAATCAGATGGGTGCCGTTACTAGGATATCTCATTGATGGGAACTTTGCAAGGATTCTGTATGAAAAATCGTAATTTGTAGAAATGTATCATCTGTCTATTATAAATCCCAAAAGTACTGAGTTCTCCCCATTCAAATGCTAATTCCTTTAAGCAAAATTATTTATATGTGAAAGACAGTTTGATGTAATGCAGTTTGATTAGTGTGTTTGTCTCCTTGTCTTTGGGGGGCCTCTGTTGTAATTTGTTGTTCTATTAATAAAACTTTACCTTACCTTTTCTCAAAAAAAAAAAAAAAAGAGACAGTTTGATAGCATCAGTCACTTTGAGTCCTTTCTCTAGTGCATATAGAATTCTTTCAGTTTTTTTTTTTTCCTGAACCTATGGTGCTGAAGGAGGATAAGGGTGGAAACTATGTTTTATACACAGGTTCTGATGTGGATATGTAGCTTTAGCTGATTGAACACTTTGATTTACTTTCTAGCAATTCTGCACGGGAATTTGTCTGATGCATGTTCTGTTTGTGTAGATTTATCTTGTTCCAAAGTAGATGGTGATCATTCATTTTGTTTTTTCTATTTGAGAGGGCAGCACTTTATAGGTGCCAATAACATGTGTTTTAATTCAGTATAATCTTAGAGATGCTGATCTCTTTGCCCTACATTATTTATCATTTTTGTGGGGTCACATTTCCAAGCTTCTAAGATAACCTGAAACCTGGTCTTGATTACTTGTTCTAATGATGGTGGCATTGGTTTCATTTACTGAAAAGGAGAAGATGGACTGTTTTCTTTTATATTTTGATAAGTATGAAGTTGTGTTCATTTATGCTTTTCAAAATAATTCTTACATCATTTGGTCATTGGTTCTGTTCTGGGTATGCATGCAGGTTGGACCAGAGATTTGCTTATTGAAAACCCATGTGGACATATTGCCAGATTTTACCCCTGAGTTTGGCTCCAAGCTTCGCTCAGTATGTCAATTTGCTTTCCTATTTTATTTTGGCATATCTTTTTGTTTTCTCGTCGTTTCTTTTTGTCTTCCATAGAATGCTTTATTTTCTTTACCAAGCAAAAGATGAAGAATGTACTTTTATGTTTTGGGCAGTTCATTACTTCTTCACAAGGTAAAAATATCATTGAATAATTAGGACTGTTTTCAAAGCTCAATTTTGATGGAAGGCTCAAAGCCTTGATAGTTGATACCAGTTGAACCAGGCTGGATTTTTTCTGGTCCTTGTTGTAAAAGGATGTTTTAGGTCCTATTTGAGATGGATTTCAATGAAGTGTAACCTAGAATCCTTCAAGGATTATTAATATTTAAAGGGATTCCTTGGTTACTTTGGTGATTGATGATGATTCAGCCAAATGCCATCTGCATAGTGAGGAATAAGAAGATTAGATTGTGAAGATCAACAAGTTACATGGACAATGTTATTGATTTTGGTCGAGGATGATCTTATCATTTCCTCTAATTCCTTCAGAATGCAGATGAAAGTGTATTATTAACCAACATTTATGTAATGACTTCTGTAAATGGCCGCATTTCATGTCAAGCACATATTGGATTCTGACACTCCACACTGTGGTTGTGACCGTTTCTATATTTTGTTCTTTTCTTACTTGCACAAGAAGTACTAAATTTCACCATACATATTGCACATTGCCTTTTCCTGTAGAAAGCTTCCAGGCATGGTTCTAAGTATTGATATGATACGCCCTGTATCGGGTGTATCCAGTGATTTAAAAGCACATGTGAGGCACATTTTAAGATATGCACCTTGCCTAGGACCCAGGTTCAGCATTTTCCAAAGGTCTGCACCTTGCCCAAGGCTGCAGTCCATACTAAAGGGCCATTTTTGTAGGCACTCTAATCCCACACAACTTTTTTTTTTTTTTNGGGAAGGGGCCATTGCAACTGAAGCGCTGCATCATGGACAACAGAGTAAGTGCCTTTTCTATCTCACTTCCAAATTCTGCTATCCTCTTCAGGGGCAATCGACTGGAATTGCTGCAGCTGAAGTAATAATCTTTCCAGCTCATCTATTTCCTAGTCATAAAAGACTCCGGGGGAGTTTGGATTTTAAATAAACAATATCCCTTGTCCATAGACATTTGATACAATTTAAAAAGATATTTGATTGCTTTTGAAGTATATGAGGAATCTCATATATCCTTATTTCAGGGTTATGGCAATGTAGTAGGTTAAATGAATCAGCTGCTCTTCCGTTACCCTATTGGGATGGTTTCTTTCAATATTTTTTACTGGGTCCGGTCAAGTCATATTTTGTTTCCAAAACAATGGAGTGTGTCTGGTTCAGGCAGAGGTTGAGTTCCACCAAACCGGAAAGCTTGAGTCATTTGCCTAGTGTTTTTTAAGGCCCTCTTCACTGTATGGTATTATTAAAGGTAGAAACCTGAGGATCCTTTGCCCTTTGGATGTGTACCTGTAAACTCATGCAATTTGAAAATCAGTCAGTATGGCTTCACCCTCTCAGTATCTCCAACCCTAAATAGCATCTGAATGAGTGGTCCTTCTGTTTCTCTCCAACATGGCTTAACCTTTTTCTTTTATAATTATTTAGTTATGAAATTTGAAATTTGGTCGGTCTATACCTTTCAAGTGATGCACTACCATCCTTGATTTGGCTTCTTGTGCAGTAGTGCTTAGAGTGTTTGGCAACGATTTCTGGTTAACATTTGCTTAAATTAATTGTTTTTTGGATAATTGAAAGAAATGTTTAAATTAGTTGCTTTTATCATGAGGATCTAGTTTATTGGTTGGTATTTGCTTTCTGCTTGCTTTTATTTATTTTTGTTTTGGGACTGGTTAACCATGGCTTCTTTCATGGTCTGAAGAATAAATTTGTATCTAATTTTCTGTAGGGACTAGGTACCATATATTGGAAGTTCAATTGTAGGTGCCTGCCTAAGCGCTGGTACCCATCCAACATGTAACATGTTTATTGGGTTTTAAAGGCATGTCTGCTTGGACCTTCACCATTGTGTTGTGTCGGAATTTCCTGTCATCCACATTCTCTATATTTTGACATTCTCCTTTTTTTCCATACTCAGAATCCTTGATTGGTAATAATATTGACAAGGAAGGGATAAAAAACATAGCTTGATTCAGCAATTAACCAATGTTCATTGACTCTTGTGCATTAGTCTGTCCTAAGTATCCAGGTGGGCCAGGTTTTTATGCATAGACATTGCCTCTGCACGTGATAAAGTGTGATCAAATAAAAGGCTAAGCAAAGATAGGAATGATTAGCTTGGAAGAAATAACATCCAACTTTCTCTTGGATCATTCTCTGATAGGGAGCATTGTGTTGTGGTAGAATGTTGCTACCAGAATAGTCCCTTCTAGGCTGATTTTGGAACTGGTTTTATCCATTCTTAATGGTATTTCATGAATCATATTTTTTGATTGTAGGCATTTTATTGATGAAATTTTGCAAAGCATTCCCTCCCTTTTCCTGTCAGAACATGATTTAAAAAATAAAAGGACATTAATGGTTTGCCATTTGGACTTGGAAAGCAGTAATTGTCGGCTATATTGTGTAGTTTAAACTCAATGTCATTTCATAAAGGCGTACTTTGCTGACTGAAATGCTCTAACCATAATTAAGCATAGCTACTTAGCATCTTTTTTGACCAGTAACTGTACAAGGTCACAGTTATTCTTATCTTCGCATGTGGAAAGTTACCCACTTAATATTGAATGCAATTGCCTAGTTTTCTTTTAGTTAATTTATGCATTTTTTATTAATTAAAATTATTGCTAGGTTTGTAGCTGATTGGCTTTATTTCTATTGAAGGTCGCAGATAAACACAACTTCTTAATCTTTGAGGATCGTAAGTTTGCTGACATTGGAAATACTGTGACTATGCAGTATGAAGGGTGAGATTCAACTTCTGTCCTGGATCTTTGTCCCTTATCTCAATTTTTTATTTCATTAGTTTTTGCTTACATTTTTTTTTTTATCTTAGCTTGAAGGCTCTTATGTTATTGTTTTCAGAGGTGTGTTCCGCATTTTGGATTGGGCAGATATAGTTAATGCTCACATAATCTCGGGTCCAGGAATTGTGGATGGTCTAAAGTTGAAGGTCTGGCTTTGGCAGAAGTACTAACATTTCATATCCAATAATTGCTGCTTGGGATTGATTTTTCATGATATATCAGAAATCTAGAACTTTATTTGGTTTTACATATGTACCATATTGAGTTGATACTTGATGGTAATGCCCAATCTATGACTTAACTTTCAAAATTCTGGAATGAAGGGCTTGCCCCGTGGCAGAGGCCTACTACTGCTTGCAGAAATGAGCTCATCGGGAAACCTTGCCAAAGGAGACTATACAGCTGCAGCTGTGAAAATTGCTGAAATCCATTCAGATTTTGTCATTGGCTTCATCTCAGTCAACCCAGCATCATGGCAAGGTGGACCAGTAAATCCAGCACTTATCCATGCAACCCCTGGAGTTCAAATGGTTGCTGGAGGTGACACACTGGGCCAGCAATACAATACTCCTTATTCTGTAAGTTACTTTTGCCATTGATTGCACATTCTCTGATTTGGTATTGCTTCTTTAGAGTAATCTTTCTTCTTAGCTCTTGCTCTCTGTTGCCAATTTATTTATTCAAAGTTTCAGATAAATGCCAAGTTATACTAGGAGTAGAGTTTGGAGTTAACATGTGTTACCTGTCCACCAAATACAGAATTTTTTTTTTCATTGGTTAGTCCTGGGTCCACATATTGACATGGGGCTTTTCCATTTTGCGTTCTTTTAAACTTGTACATATTTATGCTTCTTATTGATGTCAAAAGAAAGGTGGAAAGGAGAAAAATTAGGCTGCTGGAGTTGATAAGAACAAGGTTTAGTTAGGTTCAGAGATCAGCAAATTGCCTGGCTGATGCTTTGACTAGAGAATTGATTGGAAATGTCAATTATTCAAGGTGAAAAGGGTTGGGTGAAGCCAGTCTATATATAAGGGGTACCAGGCACAGGTGTGTACTTGTACAGAAATCTTTTCTTTAATCAATAAATTTGATTGTTACCCATTAAAAAAATTCAGGCTCCCTGCCCCCATTTCTGTGTGGGAGTGGGTAATCAAGCTGGCATTTGCAAGAATCATGCGAAAGAATTTAATAATGAAATGGCTGTAGATAGATATAAGTTAGAAAAGAGAAGTTGAAATGAGTGAAACTGAGTAAACAACAGTTTCCATGCATATGAAACTAAAAGAAAATGCAAGATCTTTTGATGGTGTAAGGGAGATTTTTAGCTGAATCAACTAAAAGAAATTACATCGTACTGGTCTTTACAGAAAGTCTAAAGGTCGTTTTGATTGGGATCTGAGGGTAGCAGGGACAAAAGAAACCTAAAACTTGTACAGCATTACATTGCTTTCCCAACTCTTTCATAGTAATTTAAATAATGTAAAGCTTGTTCCTGTTGTATCAGTTTTTTGTTGTCAAACTGTTTCTTTTGCATTGGTTAATGTCTAAAGAAAGGAGCCTAAGGTAGAAGATTCAAATTTTTGTTTTTTGGACAAGTCCTCAGGCTGGTTCACGTATAAGATCCTGAATTATTCATGCTGGGGTTCTATCAATTTTGGGAAAAGTAAGCATGTGAAGTTGCCTGTTCATCATTTTAAATTTTCTTGACTCCATTTTGTCTTCCTGCTTCTCATTGATGATCATTTCCCAGAAGATTGGGGGATGCTGTTATGGCATGCTTTTTTTTTCCAAGATAGATGTTCTGATACCCAAATGGTCAAATACTGATATCCTGTTGACTTTTGAATATGTCCTATATTTGTCAATAATCAATATGCTTGTATATCATAGTACTCATAAAGGGGTTCATGAAATTAGAAGTTTAGTTGAATTCCACGTGATGGAAAACCATTGAAGAGATCCTGCTAAAGTATGTAGGTGCCAAAATATTAGAAGCATGAACAATTGAATGGAAAAAAAAATAAAAAAACAGAAAAGCTACTCAACCTGGTAGATCTTCAACATAAGATACAAGGATAAGGAGCAATATTAGTTATATCTGGATCTACCCAATGCATTATTTGATCCATAGTCTTACATCATCTAATATAATACCTGCTTCTTTCTCTTGCTGTTTCAAGAACCGATTTTTGTCTCATCAATCGTCAATTTCAATTTTCTGATGCCCAATTATTTTAACAGTATATAATAGAAAAAACCAAATGGGAAAGTTTTTTGCAAGCTTATATCGATTTTAGATCAATTAGTATTTTCCATGGGTCTAATTTTAACGGTGTTTTCAGGTTGTCTATGACAGAGGAAGTGACATCATAATTGTTGGACGTGGGATTATTAAGGCTGAAAACCCCGCTGAGGTTGCTAGAGATTACCGTCTTCAAGGATGGGATGCATATATGGCCAGATGCACTTAAGAATCCTTGGTCTGAAACCAACGTATTCTAACTTGCATGATTTTGCCAAGGAATAATTGAATTGAATGTTTTGCTCAATTTATTGCATGGAACATCTAGCATATTGGAGCCATTGCATATACACCAATACCCATTTGGGTGTTGGAACTCTCGCATTCAATTCATAATGAATCCCAGATGTGGTGAGAAATCAAATGTAGGCTCAGCTTTACCCCTTATCGTGTCACATATTTACTAAAGCCCACCCACCCTATAGTTTGTGCTTACTAAAACACCCCCTATACTTTGCAACTGATTTATTTAATCAACCTTCCATTAGTTGGAAGTGGAAGATGATGGTTTGACCCCCTTGTTAGTTCAAACAAATTAATTAAAATAAAATAAAATAAAAATGATAAAAAAACATTTTTTTACTTGGTAAAATGTGGACAACCACTTTGTTTAGTCGATTTTGTTCGAGTTCGTGTTCTGTACACCCGTGAACCCACCAATAAGATGCAACCACGTCGGCAATTTGAATTTGGGCTTTAGTTAACGGACTTCTTACCATTAAATCCGGTTGAATCGGACACAAAATATTTCATTCGAATTCCCTCTTCCTCTCCTCCACCAAGTCTTAACCCAAAAAACATCCCACATCCCACTGGAAATCTTGCTGTACACCGATGTTTGTGGACGTGAAGTTCACCGGCGGCAGTCCGATGGTAAACGGAGAATCTTCTCTTCTCCATGGCTATTCGCTACTCACTATCTATCTCAAAGGCATCCATCATAGACCAATAAGAACTCTGCTGCCGCTTAAACATTTCAACAAACAGAGAAAATAAATAAGTTTCCACGGAAACAGGAGAATAAAGTTAAAAGGTAATCAAGAGGTTAAAGAGAAACGACCAAACTAAACAACAAAAGTGAATTTCGTATTCGTCATTTCCCACAAACAGTTATATATGCCGATAATGCATCCAAATTTACAGTCATATGCAGTAAAACATGACCATGAAGTTTTTCGGCGCATCCGCCATTTCCGGGAACACTTTGCAAGCTCTCTTAAACTCGCCCCTTCTGGGTAGGATGGGTGGTTTTCTCTAGGAGAAATGGTTAGAGGACACTCTCTGCTCACCTCAAAATTCATAGACATCATCTCAGTAATTTGCCCAAAAAAATCATTTTTAAAACTCTCTCTCCTCATCTCCAATAATTAATGTTTTTTATTACATTTTCCCTCCCCACTAAATTTATTATTTCCACTTAAAATATAAATTAGATAGACTCGATCAAGTTAAGAACCAACCCAAAACTAACCCTAGACATGACCCTGACCTAGACCCAAAATGACATCGGTCAAATCCCAAAATTATCAACCCAAAACCAAATTTCTATTCAACACCATGCATTGCATGGGTTTACTTGCTAATATCCATTTGRATTAGAATAGAATCTGGATTTTCAGAAACTATCGACATAGGTAGTAGGTATCATATATGTATGTGTATATRTATTGATCATCCCCCAAGTGGATATGTCAAAGGGCAATAGGCTAATGAGCTGAAAAGCTATATCTATGCATATATGTATGTATGCATGTATGTGTGTGTATGTACATATGTATGTATGATATGCATGATTAAAATAAMTATGACCAATCATGCATGGTCTAATTGGAAGAAAAACATACCTACCAGAGAGAAGTCAAGTGTATATATAGACAATCCATTGAGAGAAGTCTTTACGTTTGCCCATTATTAATTTCTTCTTCTTTTCCTTGTTCATCGTCACCATCTTGTTCTTCTCACCATTGACCGACTCGACAGCAATAACATAAGTCAAAGATCATCAGCAATGCACTAGATACGATGGAAACCACATCTAAACAACCCATTTGCTTATGTGAACTAGATTGGGTAACGACTTTTTTAAAGTAAGATTTATAAAATTTTAGACGTTTTTCTTTAACAATGGTTTGAGTTGGTCCATTAATTAGGTTTTGCAAAAATAAGCATCAGGTGTCTTGGGTTGTGTATCATACCTTTTTTCCGAGGAGATGTACGTCGTGTTGTCCAGGAATCCATGTCCTGTAGGTGTGGGGAGATATGTACAAGGCGA